TCCCCCGCGTGAGTATGGCTGCAGGGGCTCCCGGCGGTGCCCGCGTTTCAGGTCGCTGGGAAGGAGGAAGGAGCCCCCTTCCCAGGTGCACGCTTTGCACGCGGGCCACTGTGGCCTGCATTTGTCTGGGAGGGTTGCGTGCAGCTGGGCATTGCTTCTGCCTCACTTCACACTTGTAAAGGCACTATAAAAACTTCTCCTGGCTGCCAGCGATGATGAGATTAATCTGCCTGGGGAAAACCGGTTACCCCACCCTGATCCCAGTGGTTCTCCTCTTTGATCGCTGGAAGCGCTCTGCCAGGGGAGTGTGTGTGTGTAGCTCCTGGCCCCTTAATGACCTCTTAATCCCCATCTCAAGCATTGCTTTGTTGCTATGGAAAGGATTGCATGGTTGCAAGCTACCGAAGAGGCTGTCTTGGAGATCCCTTTCCTCCCTTCAACTGGGCGTGGGGGCCGCTGGTGCACAAGGCAGGAGGGGGCTCGGTCCCTGGGGCTTCTGTAGCTGAAGGGGTCCTGCTTTCCCTAACTCCTTGCTTTACTTCATAGCCTGGAGCAGCTGATCTCTCCAGTGGCCTTTACATCCAACAGCAGCCTGGACCCTTGTGCAAAAGAGACTGTGCTGAATGCCATCAAGGAGAGTAGGAAGAGGACTGTGGAGGAGGAGGAGGAGGACCAGGCTTTTGGGAATGATCAGGAGAGCAAGAGAAGGTAAAAAAACTGGCAGTGCAGGTCACTGCCTGTGTATTGGGAAAGCTGTAAATGGGGCTAGTGATTCATTGGTGACAAATGGGACTTATCCCAGAGTGCCCCATCCTGTGACAAAGAGTCTGGAGCGGACAAGTGCTGCAGAAAGTGAACCGCAAAGAGGAAGCGCACCTGATCACCCTGCCCTCTTTATTGTGTCAGAAATTCCTCCAAGACTCTTCTTGTCCTTCAGATCAAAGGATGTGGTTTAAGTTTCTGTCTGGGCAAGCTTGTGGGTCAAGTGTATTCTCTTGCATTGTTGGAGATTGGGAGAGGCCTGGAATGTGGATGGAGGAAACCTGTCAGGGCTTCTGTCATCTCAGAGAAACTTGACAGATAATCCTGGTATCTGCTGTAGACTGATCATCTTGATCCTTCAGTCAGCGCCAGTCTTCAAGGAGAGATGGGCTCCCAAAGTCTAAAGTTCAGGATGGGAGCATCATGCTTTAAAAATCTCTGGGTACTCCTTTATGTGCTGTAACTAGCAAAAGGAGGTAAAAACAAAAGAGAAAACAAGGAAGACTATCTTCTGCTTTCATTAATCAAGGTCAATGACTTCCAGCTCTGAGCTCCAAAAAGTGAAGATGCAGTGGCTTTGCCAGGGCTCTGGGTAGGAGTACTTGCCCAAGCATAGCTCTGTCTTTCTGTTATTCTCTCTTCCCCTGTTTTTCATCCTTTCCATTTGTGTACGTGTAGGCCATTTTCCTTGTGCCCCCTTCTGACCCTTACGCACCAAGGGCTACCTGTTTGGGCTCTGGCAGGTAAACTGAGAGATTGGAGAAGAGCAATTTGGACTGATGAAGGCACTGTCCAAGCATGTCATCCTGTGTGCTACACTGGGACCTGCTGTTAAAGGTCATTCTGAGAGCAGAGGGGGATGACTGGCATTTTCCAGGGAGCTCCCAGCTGTTGTTCCTGCTGCTGCAGGAGCAGGCTGGCAGTGGGAGTTGCAGCAGGTCGGTCGTGCAATTCTCTATTCCATCAGCTGATTTTTCCCTCTACCTTTGAACCCTTGCCTCAGGTTGGTAAATCTGAACATGAGGAGAGCTGAGTCTCTAGGATAACAAAGGATGGGTGTGCTAGCAGAAAATGCTAGCTAGTTTTTCTCTTTTTTTATTATTATTATTATTATTATATTTTTATCATCATCATCATCCTCTCTTTTATTATTTTATTTTAACATGCCAGTACCCAGCTCTGCCACGAAAGCCAATTTTAAAGGTGTTAATCATCTGGAAAGCATGAAAAATGCTTGTAGGCAAAAAAAAAAATCCATTGACCTTTGAGGGCAGAAAAGTACCTATGTCAGCTGGAGAGCGTTGTGCTGCTTGTGCAATGAGGGGTCAGCATGCTCCGAGCTTCAGGAAAGTGCTTGGACTAAGTGACAGAGCTGATCTTATTTCTCCACCCTCGCTTCACAGTGCGGTTTGTTTTTAAGACATTCAGACGTCAGTTATCCACTGAAATTAAAATCCCCTTGTGGGAAGGGGGAACCAATTTCTAGCTCAAACTGTCTATGGCACTGGCTAAGAAGAGGCAGGAAATCTAGGTTTCAGTGGCCAGGTTCATTCCAGGAATGAACTGCTAAGTTTGTCTGAAATGTTTTTGGCTTAGAATGATGGATTTGGGCAAGATTTCATTAAATCAAAACTATTCTGCCCAGCAGGCAGCGAATAGAGTGCTGGTGCTTGGGAGGAAGGCAGCTAGGGATGAGAATGAGTGAGGCCAGGACTAGGTGGAGAGAAAATCTGCAGCCTGGAAAAGGTGACAGGATGTGGGTGGGAAAACTTCTGCCCCAAGTACTGGGTGGCAGGAGAAAAGCAAGGTTTGTGCTTTCCTGGTGCTGGGCCTGCCTGGAAGGGATTCTCTCCCAGCCTGGCAGGGTAGCCCCTGCTCTCTGCTGCCTCCTGGCCATCAAAGACTTTTCCCCTCTTCCCCGTAGGCGCCATGACAGCAGTGGAAGTGGACAGTCAGCATTTGAGCCGCTGGTAGCCAATGGTGCCCCTGCCTCTCTCATACCCAAGTAAGTGCCCATCAGGCCCAAAGGGACTGCTGTTAGCTGGGAGGTGAATCTGTAAGTTTCTGCACACTCTGGAAAAAATGCTTAGTTTTTGCTTGTGGAGCCCAGGTTCTGGGGAGAGCTGGAGAGGCTGTGGCCTTGCCTTTTGCCTGTCACCCACTGTTAGAGCTGTGCAGTCTGAGCACTGGCCAGTGGGCATTAGGGCTGTGCTGCTATGGGGGCTCTTTCTAAGCTCCGTGCTGTAAGGAAGAGTAGAGTTGCTTATGTCAACCTGCCCTGCCTTTACAGGACCTGTGGGCAGGATGGTGGGGAGCTCATAAAATTTTTTATAACCACCTCCAGGCCTGGCTCTCTGAAGAGGGGCCTTGTTTCGCACTGCCTAGATGACTGCTCAAACAAGAGGTCGCGCACCTCTTCCATGAGCTCTGTGAACAACATGTATGCTGGTGGGATCCCCAGCTCCATTCGCAACGCCATCGCCAGCTCCTACAGCTCTAGCCGAGGCCTCTCACAGGTAGGAAACAGCTTTGCAAATATATCGCTGGAGTCTGCAGCCAGGCACAGTGCAGAGTAGTTCGCCCCTCCTTTGGGACCGCCTGTGTAACTCAGATCCCGGGCTCATAAGATTAGAGCAAGATTACTGCCAGGTACCTGGCAGTAAACGCTGTGGGGAGTCTCAAGCGCAACTTAGCCAGTCAATTTTATCTTGTCACACATTAGGCAGGCTGCTGGGCCTGCAGCAGCAGGAAGCGATGTTACTTTGTGCATGCTTCTATGGATGTTCCCAATCTGAGATGTCTTCCTGCAGCGCCTGTTTCATGCTGAAAGGAGGAGGAGGTTGTTTTTCTCCCTACATACCCTTGGCCTGTCTGTTAGGGTGGTTAGGTCCAGGTGGGGAAAACTTGCTGCACTCCTTCTTGCTGCACTGCTGCTTTTTCAGCTGGAGTCAGCAAGTATGAGAGCCCTGTGTTCCCATTCTGACCTGGGCCCCCTCAGCAGCTGCTGAGCTGTGGAAAAACACTACTTAAATGGCTCTTGGATCAGGGCTGCAGATCTGACAGTGGAACAATTGTGGCTCATGGAGCTCTGCTGTCTGTTTGGAGGCAGGCTGCCTCTGTGGCCTCTCTAAGGAAGGGTTTCCTCTGACTGGGGCAAGTCCGAAAATTCTTGAGGTGGGGTCCATCTGCCCTGAGCTCCTGGCAGACAGGCAGCCTGCTGCTGCCAGAGCAGCCCTGTGCACACGTGGGCATCTGAGGCTACTGAGGTAGCCAGGCAGTCTTGGCCTGCACCACGCAGAGGCAAGAGGACTAGTGTTTGCTGCCTGGACTGTGCTCTGAACAGCACTGTCCTCCCTTTTCCACCTTCTCTGCCGGGCCAGCCCATTAAGGCCTAGAGGCTGCCTGCTCCTGAGATGTATTTGCTCTGGGGTGTCCAAACCCTGCTCTGCTCCCCGAAATGTGGAAAGGAATTATGTGGTGATGAAGACAGAGTGAGGCGATGGACTCGTTAGCTGAGGTTCTCGGAGACGGCATTTACCATGCAAGCGAGAAGGAGGATAGAACATTTACTCCCTTTCATCCCATGCCCTAAACTACTGCTGGTCTTCTTCTGGCTTCTAGCTGTGGAAGACAAGCGGTGTGAGTGTGTCCCCGCTGTCCAGCCCAGCGTCCTCCCGCTCCCAAACACCAGAGTGGCCTCTCAAGAAAGCAAGGTAACTAGCTGCTCTTTCAGGGAGCAGCTGCTCCTCAACTCCAGTTTGAAGGAGAGCAGGGCATCTTCCCAATGGTACTTCCAACTGGACCCCTCTCACCAAGGGATTTGGGACCATCTTGCCTGATTCTAAGACTTGACTGCTGGGTGACCCACCTGTGTGGGAATCCCGTTGATTTGGTGTTGGTTCATATCTCTGCCACCTTGCTACACTGGTGTCCTGGCAGTAGCACTGCAGGAGCAGCACTGTGCGGTTGAGATCCCCTGTCCTGCTCTGACACCATGTTATAGAGATTCGGAAATTGCCACAGATGCGATGTTGTGTTGTGGAACTGGCACAGCCTGGATTGCCTGAATGTCTGAAACTCAGGAAGAGAGACAGGCCCTGATTATTGCAATCTCGTCAAAAGTGATTCGCAGGTGACTGTGGCATATTTGCATTTTAGCACCTGCTCTGGAGCTTATGCCCTAGTTCCGCTCTCTCCCAGCTCAGAGAAGGACTTGATTGCCCTGGGGAGAAGCATGCGTCAGAACTGAAGCTGACGCAACCATTTGCCTGGAAAGGGTGGGTCTAAGAGGTCTGTGGGAAGTGACGTTTCCCACCTGAGACCCCTGAATGCTGCTCTGAAGCTGACTTCAGCCCTGCAGAGCAGTAGAGGTTGAGTGCACTTGAATGGCAGACCAAGCTATGATCTTGGGGATGGGAGCAACTCCTCTGCTTTGAGCTGCTTTCAGGCTGATACGGTGAGGACAGGGCTGATAAGGACTTCACTCTGGGCAGACTACGAGAGTGAAGGGCTCAGCAAGGAGCAGAGTACAAAACCCAGGGGTGGGGCTGCCACAGCAGTGGGGAGTCTGTGTAACACAGGCTGGGGAATCTCCCTAGGAAGTCCCGTCTGGTCCTTGAAGCTGGGGATGCTGTTAATGCCCGCTGGCTCAGGATGTTGCTGGGAGTCCTGTTGCTTGGCTGAGGCGAAGAAATGGGCAAGGGATGCTGGTGGGAGTCTTAGTGTGTTTGGCCTGTCCCCTCTGGGAATGAGGCCAAGCTTGGGGATTGACACTAACTCTCTCTCCCCTTTGCACAGGGAAGAGGAGTCTCTTCGCTCCAACGCTTCCACTCCAGTGAAATCAGACAAGGAGCTTCAGACTGAAAAAGGTGAGCACAGGTTTGCACCAGCTGTGGGCCAGAGTTGGATGGGTCTTCAGTTTGAGAACATAGCAGGATGTAGCTCAGGTCTTCAGGTGGGATAGTCTTGAGATGTCTCTTAGAAACTTAAGAACATGCTGGTCCCGAGCCAGTGACACTTGTTGCTTTCTGGGTTAGGGTCATCCAGAGAGGAGTCCCCTTTCTCCCTCTCAGAAGGGACTAACATACTGACCTGAGCTGAGTTCCTCCTTTGCCTAGGGGCAGTTCTGACTTGTCTCTATCTGTAGTGGTAGAGACGCCTGTGCGGAAGAAGCAGAATTCCCTGAGCTCTCCATCCGTGTCTGGAAGCAGCGGGAAACGCAAGCGAAAGATCCAGTTGCTGTCATCGCGACGGGGAGATCAGCTCACCCTGGTACGTCGCTGTCTCGCAGCCCCTTTTGCCCTTCTCTGGCGATAGAATGTGCTCACTGCAATTTCTGCAGGGCTGGGGGGAGACTGACCTGCCTGCCCTCAGGAAGGAGGCCCCGTCCTTGGCGGAGTGGGAAGTGACGCTATCCCCAGCCCCAGTGTCTGGTGGGCTGTGCGTGATTGTGCTGCCTGCTGCCGGACCAGGTAATGGCCTGGGGAAGGCCTGCCGTGCCCTCAGTGCCAAGCCGGGGGCCATAATAGGTGGGATTGGAGCTCCGCGGTAGTGTGCTGTGGCAGAAACACCTGCTTCACGGGTCTTGCGACGGCCTGCCTTCACCACACGTTCAGAGAGGCTCTGCCAGCTTCCCTGAGAACGAGCTAAGCTGTTGCTCTTTTTTGGCAGCCCCCACCACCTCAGCTGGGTTATTCCATCACCTCGGAGGACCTGGATGCGGAGAAGAAGGCAGCGTTGCAGTGGTTCAACAAAGTCTTGGAGGATAAGGCTGGTAAGAACCGCACCCCTGGGCAGACTAGGAGGATGAAGGGGTCAGCAAGGATTAGAGACGAGTAGAAATCCAGGGGTGGGGCTGCTGGGACAGCGGGAAGCCTGTGTAATACAGGCTGAGGAACCTCCCTAGGAAATCCTGCCCAGCCCTTGAGGATGGGGATAGTGTTAACGCCCCCTGGCTCAGGATAGTTCGTGCCCCAGAGTCCGTGGGAAGTCAGTGTGATGAGTAAGGTTTCCCAGCTCTAGAGCTGTGGGATGTTCATGCAGCTTCCTACCCATTAGCTCTGCTAATGGGTCGTCCCCTACATCGTGTTTTGGATGCTGACTTCTTGCTCCTTTCCAGTAGATCCAGCTCCCAGCACCACTGCGGAGACTGCCCCTCAATCCAGACCACTGGCGTTCACAGTGACCTCCCCAGGGCCCACGCCTGTGTCAACAACTGCACCTGCCAGCACCAGTTCGCTCCTGGACAGCCTGAAGAAGATGCAGAGCAGCCAGACTGCCCCTGTGCTGGCAGGTGAGGAGGAAGAGGGTGGGCAGAGCTGGGCACTGTGGCAGAGCGAGCCAGCCCCAAGAGGGGCCCTCCATCACCTTTGTGGGAGCCAGGCTGGAAAACTCCATGTTCAAACACTCTGCACGCAGTGGAGACGACAGGCAGGCCTTGTGGGGCAAGTCTGGGCACTCAGTCTGTGCTCCTGTTGTGAGCTGCAGTGGCATGGAGGGCTTGATCTGTCTAGTATAGGGAGGTGCTGCTCCAGGAGCCTTTGCAGTACTGGGGTGGCTGTTTGGCAGAGTGGCTGTCTGTATAGGACCCCTGTCTCTAAATCCACTCTCTACCCCTTTCCAGACTCTTCTGGAGCTGCGATAGTGTCTCCGCCGTCTTCATCAGCACCACAGCTGCCTGCTCCAGCTGTATCACTAGAGTCAAGTTCGTTACCTGCGACTTCTGCCGACACCAAGCCTGTGCCCGTATTAAGCATAACTGCCCCTTCTGCCCCTCCTACCTCTGGGGCGCAGCCTGCCAGCAGCCTGGCAAATCCTTCATCCACAGAACTGGGCCCAACCCCCAGCAAACCTCCTTCCTTCCCAAAGCCAAGCATCCTTTTTGGGATGCCGAGCACCCCTCCAACCAGCCAGCCGGCAACGACGGCAGCTGCTGCTGTCCCCGCCACGACCCCTGTCTTCAAACCCATCTTTGGAACTCCGCTGAAAAGTGAGAGCACAACACCCTGTACGACTGCTGTCTCTACTGCAGTTGTCGCGTCTGTGAGCTTGGGCCCTTCTTTGGCATCTTCCACCACTACCATGTTCAAGCCTATCTTTGGCGGTGTGACAGCAGCTTCATCTCCAGCAAAGGCCTCTCCTTTCGCATTCAAGCCAACACCGCAGCCAGCCTCAGCTGCAGATCTGCCAACAGCCTCCACGACTGCCCCGGCAGTATTCACGGGCCTCCCTACTGTCATCTTCACCACTGCAGCTACAACTGCTACCACACTGAGTTCCTCCACGGATGCCACTACTAAACCTGTCTTCAGCTTTGGACTCAACCCTCCTGCCTCCACTGGCCCTACTACCAACCTGACTGTTACCACTGCCACTTCCACCAGTACATCCCAGCCGTTCCTGTTTGGAGGCCCAAGCAGCTCGGCTCCCAGCACAGAAGGCAGCTTTGCCGCCTCGGGGCCTGTGTTCCAGTTTGGAAAGCTAGCTCCGGCTACAATCCCTGCCACCACCAGTGTCCCAGGAGGCTCTAGCTTTGGCCAAGCACCTTCAAACTCGACTGCTCCCACCACTGCTGTGGGCTTTAGCATTTTTGGAGGCACCGGCCTGACATCTACCCCAGCAACCACAGGTCAGTCAACGCTGTCGTTTGGCTCCTCTGTTACAGCTTTTGGCAGTTCGTTCAGCGCAAGTGCGAAGCCACCGCCACCGTATCCTGGCACAGCAAATCAGTCAGCTTTCAGCACTGGTGCTGCGGAGAGCCAACCACCCGCCAGCAAACCCTCTGCGGGCCCTGTCAGCTTTGGCCCCCCTTTCAGTTTTGGAGCCCCGACAGCCCAGTCCACTGCTCAGCCAGCGTTTGGTAGCAATGCTCAGCCGGCGTTTGGTGCAGCCAGCACCCAGGGCTCCTTTGGCACCAGCAGCACCCAGGCAGCGTTTGGAACTACCACGTCAGTCTTCTCTTTTGGGACTGTCACCTCCACCACGGCCAGCTTCGGTTCCAACACCCAGACCACAAACAGCAGCACTGGCACTGCTGTCTTCGGCACCACCCCCTCTCCTTTCACCTTCGGGGTATCTGCCCAGTCAGGTCCCTCTGCCAGTGCCTTTGGGATTGGCACACCTGCCCTTAACAGTGGCTCCCCTGCCGTATCATTCAACTTTGGGGCCGGGCAGAGTGGAGCAGCCGCTGCGGCAACGCCTTTCGGTTCTTCCCTGACGCAGAGCACGCTGGGTGCGCAGAATCAGAGCACGCCGTTTGCCTTCACTGTGCCCAGCACTCCTGACAACAAACCTGTGTTTGGAGGTGAGCTGCAGCAGTCAGGCCGCTTAGCAGGGTGGAGGGCAGGGCTGGTTGTAGGCAGCTGCTTTCCTCATGGCCCTTGCTGAACTTCCCTGGGCTTAGGAGCCCTAGATGGGCTGGTGTTTATGCTGTGCAGGGCCTTGCCTCACTCATCCGTTCAGGGCCCCAGTTCTCAGTCCTTAATCCGTTAGTCTGCTGTTCCTTGGCCCCTGTAAACATGCCAGCTCTCTGGCTCAGCATGAGTGCTGAACCCAGCCAGCTCTCTGGAGAAGCCAAGGTCTTGCCAGCACTTAATAGCAATCTGAAGTTTCTTGGGAGAGTAGAAACACTTCCAGCCAGTGTTTGCAATCCCTTCTTGTTCATCTGCTGAGGTTTTCCCAACTGTTTTGAACCCTCACTGAACCATCTCACTTCCTGCAGATTTGCAACCCACATGCTGAGAAACTCTTTGGTCTAGAAAGACCAAAGGCCTTTGTGCTTCCCTAGCCTGCAAATCCTCCTGGGCCACCCTCTTGGGAGAAGGGTCAAGGGATTAAGATGAGAAAATAGGAGGGAGCAACTTCTTGCATTAGAAGGGGCTCTCAGAGGTGAATAGGCTGGTCCTGGGGGACTGTATTCCTTCAATCCATGGAGAGAGATCCTGCTGTTTGCAGGAAGTGCCTGCTCCCAAAATCCAGGCTCTCCTGTCTCCTTTGCTAACCCGCGCTCACAGTGGCATGTTGCTTTCCAGGAACTCCTGCTCCCACCTTTGGGCAAAGCACACCTGTCCCAGGAGCAGTGGGGGGCGGAAGCAGTAGCCTTTCCTTCGGGACACCCAGCACTCCTGCCTCGGGCTTTGGGGGAGTTGGTGCTTCCTTCGGTAAGGGTTCTTCTCTGGCCCTGTGGGGCCCATGGGCTGAGGCGCTCTCTTGAGCGGGGGATGGCAACAGGGCCTGTGACAGGCTGTGTTCTGGGATGCTGTCCCCTGCCACTTGCTCGGGTGGCACCTCTTGGGCTCTGGGGAGGCAAAAAACCTTCCCTTCCCTCCTTTCCCTCTGGGAGGGAGGATAACACTGCCTCTGTGTTAACACAGCCATGGGTGAAGCTGGAGAGACCTATGCAACCTTTCTGCTTCCAGGTCCCTCGACCCCTGCGTTTTCCATTGGGGCAGGATCCAAGACCGGGGCTCGCCAGCGGCTGCAGGCGCGGAGACAGCACACCCGCAAAAAGTAACCTCTTGAGTTGTTGGGCCCCAGCTGCTGGCCTGCTGCGAAGAGCCCCTGCGCCAGCACGCATGCAAGGGGCTCCAGTCTAAAGCAGTCCCTGTGGCAAGACCAGCGGTGGCGGGGCTCAGGCCCCCATCTCCTATGCCAGCAGGAGACTCTGCTGGGTAGCAGTGACTGGGGTGGGACAGGATAAACCAAACCCTTTGTACTTGAACAGTTCCACAGCTGAGGCTGGATGAACCTCTGTACATATCTGCAGCGTTTCTTCCCTCATTTTATTTTGCCATGTTTCATAATATGTAAATTTTTCCCATTGCTTCTTCTAGCTGTGCCTGTGCCCTCCTCCCCCAGTTCCCCTGACATTGAGCCCCCTGCCCCACAACGTGGCAGGCAGCAGAGCTACAGGGTGCCAGCTGACGGGTGCATCCCTGCTCAGAGCCTGGCTGGAGATCTGCTCTCGTGGCATGCTGCTGTCTCCCTGCATCTCTGCTGCCCAGCCCTGCTGGGTGCAGTTCTCTGCCTAATGCTGCTGTCCCAGTGCTACTGTGTGATGCAGTCTTCACCAGGTCCAGAAATCTTTCCCTGCTGTGTAATCTCATGACCTGGTGAACACTCTTTTTCTAGAGGGCTCTGCTCCAAGCTGGTAGTTGCCATCTTTGCAGAACACTTGCCTGGATTAATGCCAGCGGCGCCCCCACAAGGGTAGGCATAGTGTTTTGGTGCCATAGGTGACTGACTGATCCAGCTTCTGCAGCTGGGTAAAGATCCTATTATCATACCGTGAATCTCCCATCAAACCTCCAGCTTAGGTCTCGCACGCACGGGATAATGACTGTGCTATAGTGTCAGACCTCAGCTGGAGGAGTGCTTTGGGGATGAGCTGTGCTCAGAGCTGCAAGAAGTGTTCTCCCCCCTGCAGGGCCAGGCTCCTTCCAGTGAAGGAGCCCTGGCCCTTGCTGCTCTCTGCCATCCATGAGGCTTTGAGCTGACCCTGATCTGCTCTGTGTAAAGCATTGTCTGTTTTGCTTTGTTTGTGCTCCTGTTGATGCACTCATTGAATCGAGTTTGGAGGAAGAATTGAACTGTGTGCGTGGCGGCATGTTGGTTATGCCGGATTTGCTGTTTGGAGTTTTTTGGGGCATCTGTTCCCTCATGGGAGGGTGTGCCCTGGCTAATTGGGTGTTGACAGTAGCATCACTGCGTGGCTACTATTGCTGGGTGAGTTCTGTCCCTTTGTCATTGTGACTGAAAGAAAGGCAGCCGGGGTGGAGGGAACGGGCCCTGGGCATGGGGACTGCAGCCTTGGCAGTCTCTCTTCTACTTGTTCTCCCTTCCTGCTCTTCTCTCTCCTAAGCTGGGCCAGGATCGAGTGCCCGTTAGCCACTTTGTGGTCCTCTGGAGCCACTAATGGAAGGAGTCCAGAGAGGAGGATGGGTTTACCCAGTTCCCCTCCTTGGTTTTCACTTCTAGCTCGTCCCTATCCTTTTGTTTTTTACCAGCTCGTAAGAGCTGTGGTGCTGTGTCCAAAGCCCCTGTTTCCATCCAGCCAGAAGGGTGGCTGTTTCTGTATCTGGGAACTTCTGTGGGAAGAGACTGCCAGGTTCAGGTCCCCCCCCAGTAACTGAGAGCTGGTCTCAGCCCCTGCGTGGCCTCCCCTTCTCTCTGCCCTGGGGAGAGGGACCAGCGCTCCTGCCCCACGGTCTCCCTACCACTTCCAGGAGTGCTTTGCTGCCGGGTTTTTTTTACTCTCCGAGCCGTGTGAGTGCGTGTGTCTGCCGAAGTCTAAATTAAAAAAAAATATTTAAACATTTTTTAACAAAATAAAAATTTATTTTTATATTTAAGCTAAATTGCCTTTGAATTCCTTCAAGCTTGGTTCATTGAGGTTGCCGCACCCCGCAGCACTGGTGGTAGAGTTTAGCTGTGCGGTTGCAGTCTGGTGAGGAGCTGGCGTATGGGCCTGGGCGCTCACCTCTGTCCACTCACACCAGAGGTGACTAGCTGCATCAGGGAAAGGCAGCTGTGTCCCATGGGCTGGCTGGTCAGGGCTGGAGCACCGCAGGTGTGTGCTCTGTGACCATGTTCTCCTCCCAGGCTGTAACAAAATGTCCTTATTTTAAAATGTGATATATGTGGATGTAACTAAACCTCTCTCTCCCTTTCTCTCTCTCTCACTCTCTCTCCCCTTTGTTTTTCTTTTTTTTCCTCCCCTCCTCTTTTTAAAATTTCCTTGAGGGTGAGGAGCAGGAGCTCTTACACGTTACAGTGGCGAGTGTGATTTTTCTCCTCTACCAGGAGCAACATACCTCTCCCAGCAGGCAGAGGGAAGGCAGGCAGGGTCAACAAGCTGTGAGTGGTGCCGGGGGGGAGGGGGTGGCAGCCCCTTTTAGCATGTGGGGTATAGGGCATGCAAGCTGGCACCTTCCCCCTTCTAAGGGCTCACAGCTGCCTGGCACTGGCATGGATTTTCCTAGCCTTCCTGTACCAAAATGGGGGGGGGGGGGGGGCGGGGGGGCTTGGGAACGCTGTTTCCCTATGAGCATGGCAGACCTTTGCTGAGGGAGTCAGCTTGGGCTGTGTCCTTGGAGGCTGAGAATCTGGCTAATAAGGGGATTATCACATGTGAGGGCTAATTTGTGGTGTTTGCACCCTGTCCAGCTTGCTGCTGCCGCCTCCTCTTCTGGCCTCTGCAGGTCATCCATCCCTGGCTCCCCAGGGCAAGGACTCCAGGTGCTGAGGCTTGCAAGCTGGTGCCTGGCTGGTGGTGCAGTGTTGCTTGCACCCTCTGAAGGGCCTTGCCTCAGCCTCCTGAAACCTGGGGCAGCTCCAGGCACAGTGCTGGGAGACAGCGGCGATGGTGGACGGTGAAGAGCATGCAAGGGGAGGGCACCCTGCTAGCTGCTGGGAGCACTGTGCACTGCCTGTCAGGGCCCCTCACAGGGTGAGCTCAGAGGAGAAGAGCCAACTGCTGGGGCTCAGCACTGCGAAGGGGACTACTGCTGGGAGCAGGGCCAAGAGGGATGTTTGTGCTGCCATGCTCGGGGGGGGGGGGGGGCTTCTAAGCCGTACGGGGGGG